GTCATCATTTGTCCTAGGTATTCTGGTACTCCACTTATTATAGGTCCTCATTGAATATTCATATTATGAATGTGGCTGCCAAATGTACACACCAAATTTCCCCTCCCTTCTCCTTCAAACTGCTTGAAAGGTCTTGAATTCTCCCCCAACCTGGGAATATTTGAAATCCCGCTGTGTTCCCTGGCATACCCACATGGTCATCCCAAGGTTAATCCCTGAGGGAAGGCTGTGATATGTGCATAATGCACAGTGCATTGGTCCAGAAAATAACTATAGCCCTCCCATGATGGGTTTTTTGGTTTAAACCCTCCCATCCCTCTGGAAATTCCAGTTGTGGTTCATACTTTCTTTTAAAACTTTTGGCTTTTGAGACCCCCTCCCCCTTGAGATTTCCAATATCCCTCCTTGGGGTGGATATAGATATTCTCTGGAACCACACAATGAGTTGATTACATGAGCAACGGTGTATTAAAAAAATGACATATTCATGATATATTTATTTCACTGTTTCACTTCCAAGATCAGCGGCTTAAAATTCTTTTTATTGTCTTACGTAAGTAAGCCTATACCCATTGGGAAAGTTTCCCTTTTGATAAATTCTCACGTTTCACTCAAGATAACCAGTTCCTTCATTAACAAGAAATGACTGTTAAGCATTGTTATCACAACGTCCAAAAAAGATAATGAAACGTTAATCGCAGCTGGAGATCAAAGAAAGAGTTCAATAAAACAGCATTCAAACGTTACTCACTATTTTTCAACCCAAGGAACGATGGTTCTTTTGCTTGAAGTCCCGGCCGTTTCTTCGCTTGCTTGATGCTTTTGCTTAGCAGAGCTTTGTCCGCGCAAAAAAGCATCCATCACTGCTTTCGATCCTTTGTTGTGATGAAAATCAGCCTAAAAAACAAGCTAAAATACTTCGTACATGTAGATGTGTTCCGCTTGTCAAAATGGCGAACTCTCGTAAACTTTCCCGCCAATCAATTTTCGCGGTAAAGAAGACTGAGACTGAGGCCTAGTCTTTTCTCGGTTTTTTGTCATACTAATGAAAAGCGTTGCGTGACGACCGTCCTTTTGATAAATCGGTACTACACAAGAAATAAATTTGTACAAAGTAGAAACTAACTCTCTTTCCCGTCTGAACGAATGAGCTGGCAAAATTTTGTCGATGAAAGTTTATTGGGCACAAGTCAAGTAGCAAGAGCTTCTATTCATGGGTTGGACGGGACAAGATATGCCTCAAGCTCTGGGTTTGTGGTGTGTATATATATATAATTTGTTGTTGTTTAGACTTGAAATCGTAAACATTCCAGCGTTTCCAGTTTTGATGAAGTGAGGTTCTAGTTAAGTTGTTTTGATTTGTGGTGATGTATCGACTTCCAAGTTTTATCAGAAGAACGAAGATGAATCAGTCGCTTAACTGTGCGAGTGAAATCGTTCTTTTTTGGGCCGTCTAATATAAATCTCCTTACGTACGGTTCATCGTTTTGTCAATATTCAACGAATCACTTTTACAAAGCGATCGATATCGCTTATTTCTGGTAAAACCGTTTCATCTGCTGGAGAAATCTGATTTCCAGGTCGTACTATAAAGCAAAAGGTGAATCAAAATCTGTTATCATGAAAACATGCCCTTTCCTTTACATTGGTGTATAAAATGTTTTCGAGGTGTTTCATCGGGCTGAGCGCATAGCATTCATTCCCGACAAGCGAAATACCGTGGTTAAGTTTAAACGTCACGACATATCCAGATTCATTCAGTTAAGACAAAATCACGATAATACTCGGTCCAAGAACTGCTAATAATCCTTCCTGTATCGTTGAAAAAAACCGCCCCGTCGCGTCGGCAGCCACTTTGTATAGGTACATGTGTAGACCATGCCACGCCAGCTGGCGTACAATGGAGATCTTGCCTAATTAAAAATCGATTAACTATGATCATTCTTTGTCTTCTTATTCAAGCCAGAACAGATTCTTGTCTGTTTTGCCTTTTTCCTGTTCAAAGGGCTCAAGTGACTCAGAGAGAGCAGTGCCAATTATGATTTTACAACAAACTAAGCATTTGTTGGAGGACCTCATATGCATAGGGGTTGAAGTGAAAGTGGTCAGTCTGTCTTGCTCAGTAACGGGTGGAGGCAGGCAGGGAATATTTTTCATCACTTAGGGTCTTATAACTTTCAGCTCAAAGAGGGTAGCAGGCCCCTCCCCTAGATCTGCCATTGTAATCATGCCTTATTGAGTCAAAACTTTTGTACAATATGGTAAACACCCATATATAAGAACAAATGGATATTAAGACCATTAGGGTGACATTTGGCCCATAAAATACAATATGTATATGAACCAGTTCAGCCTGATAAATAAAACATTTTCTTATGTAATAATAAGGGAGAGAGTGTCACAATAAGAAAAATGTTGAAGCTAATGCTACTTTTCTACTCATTAATGTTAACTAGTTTACTACCTGACAGATTTTTATTTTATTTATTGATTTACTGATTTGTTTACTTACTTATTTATTTATAATAAAACATGCTTAACTAAACCTCTAATAACATGTTATGTGTTGTATTTCTGAAACAAAGTTTAAGAACATATTAAGAACATCTTCACGCTGAATTCTCACTAAGCACCCGAGAAATACAATGTAAGAACTAGATCAGTCTGAACCCCAAAATCATGGTTCTCATATGTGGGTGTTTACTTCATTTCATCACAAAGGTTAGTCATACATTTTTTTTAACTTTGTCTTGAATTTGTCACAGGTTCTACCAAGTGAGGCTCAAGCATTGCTCAATGGCATCACAAAAGATCCGACTCCTTTCTTTTCTAAAGGCATTGCTATAAGCCGAACAAAGTATGTATTTGTAAGATCAGATCCAGGACATGCCATTTACTGCCGCAAAGGCAACGAGGGAGCTGTTGCAGTAAAAACTAATAGATGCCTTTTGATTGGAGGATATTCTGATGGAATGCAGGCAGGGTGCTGTAGCGCAGTTATGGAGAAACTAGCAGATTACTTCATTGCCATAGGATATTGAGATTTAAAGCAAGAACTACAACAAATTGCAAGAGTTGATGTCACACATGATGGCTGTGTCATTACAACTGAATATTGTTTTTTTTAGTGCTATTATTCAATAGCCATTTCACAAACTGATACCAAATGGAACTCCAGAAAGCAAATTATGTGCATAAAACTAAAAGCTGTAAATAATGAAAATTGCTAAGAGTGTATGATCAATAAATATATTTTGTATTGTTTTTGTTTGTTTGTGTGTTGTTTTTTTTTGCTACTTTTAAAGTCGAACCAAATAATTTTTTACCTGTAAGTTAATGCCCACTAACAATTACCATACATCTGTATGGCTGTCCATAAATGGGAGTTGTCTATAATTTACAGGTAAATGTCAAGGTAGCCTTGGTGCT